CCCTTCCCCCGGATCCGCTCCGCGCCGTCTCCCCGGGAGGTGGCCGGGGCGACGCGAACCCCACCCCCCTTCGGTCGCCCCCGTTTCTCCTCCCCTCCCTGCCACCGCCGATGGGCGCCCCCGGCGCTGGCCGGATGGTGTTGGCGGCGGCAGGGCCTGCCTGTCCCCGCGTGTGCGGCTCCCTGCCCGGGGCATGGGGGCGGCGACGGTGCTCCTCGGCTCGATGACGGGACGGCGTCCCAGCTGCGGTGGCCGGCGACACGCGCGGTGGTGGTGCGGCTCCTTGGCGGGGTGGCGTAGGTTGGCCGGTGGCGCGCCCCCCGGCCCAGATCAGGGCCCGCGGGCCCCATCTGGGTCCTTGCGGGCCGGCCCCCGACGTGGCTTCATCGTCATCTGTGTGGTGAGGAGGAGGAGCAGCTCGGACGGGGGGCAGCACGCCGACGGCGTGCCAGCTGCGGCGCGGAGGCGGGAGCTGTCCGGGCCTCTAAGGGCCCGGCCGGGCCTGTGGGGCCACGGGCCCGGTAGGCTCCTGCTTCGACGTCCGGTCGGCTACCGTCGTGGACGGTGGAGGTGGGGCCCTCCAGTATGCTGACGGTGCTGCTGCCCTAGTCCCGTCTCCCCTTCTCGTTGTGCAGCCATCTTTGCGGTGCCATGGTGAGACATCGGGGAAGCTTCGTGTCCGTGTTGGCTCAGGGTGATGGTCGGTTTGGTGGCGAGCTCCGGAGTGCCTGAGGTGGAGGATGGGATCAGGAGAAATCCATGTTGGCTTGGCCGACACCGACGCGGTGGCGCCTGAGGGTACCATCGGACCTTCCTGAAGGGCGTCGGGGCTACCCTTCCTCTATCCTCACCGCGTACCGGGGGAAACCCTTGGCAGCAGCGTCGTCGTCGTCGCGTCCCTTCTTGGAGGTGTTGATGGGTACCGGCGCTTCGGAGTCTCGAAGCTTGGGGGCGATTTCCGGTGGACGCAGCAGTCGCGAAGCTTCGTCGTTTTTGTTGATCCGCCGTTATCGACATTTGTTTCTTTTCTTTTTTCTCTTTCTTTCCTTTTGGGCATGTTTGTGCTGCTTTCGCTCCAGCATCTATCGTTGGTTGTATCGGATGGTTGCTTTGTAATACAAAGTAGGGGAAACCCTTTTTCGTAAAACATCAGGATTGATAGGTACAACCAATTAATGTCAGACTTAGGGTTTTGAGCACGGAGTTGGATATCGGCACTCTAGGAAGCAACACCAAAATGAAGCCACATGAGTTACCCTTACCGTTTGCTGACCGAACGAAGGCAAATCCAGCGTGCACCGTCTGATGAGAGGGGAAGGCCTCCAACACCGCCAATATCCCAGATTTTGG